ATTTAATTTATTTGTGTAATTGGTAGTTTTAAGAATCTATGCAACTTTTATTTTAATTTTAGGTTTTATTTTTCTTAGTCTTGGACTTTCTTAATTAGATAAAACTTAAGTAATATTTATTGATAATATACGGTTAACTATACATCACATAGATTATTTGCTACAAATAAACTAAATTTATGAATTAAACCAAATATATTTTATTTATTGGCGATTTGCTTTCTCATAAAAAGAGGGATAATATTTACATTTGTTATTCACTCGATAAAAGTTTTTTAAAAATTTTACTGATGTTTCTTAAACCCCGCGTAAACCGCGGGTAAATTTACTAGTTGAACTATAATGACACATGATCAATTTTGGAGCTTTCCACTAATAACCACCCCTCAAAATAGCTTTTAAATAAATTTGAAGTAGCCATAATAATACGACCATCAACTTTCATTTTCACTCTCAAGCAATACTACGGCGACCAGTTCCCAGAGACAGTTGGGGCATAATCATAAACCGAAGATTTACAACACTTACTCTTTCAACTTTCATACTAATCCATTTTGACCTGGGCTTCAAACAAATTATATATACTCCCTCGGTTCACTTTTACCTCCTATAGCAAATGTATATATCTTATTTATTATAAATCAAAATTATTTTAAAATATTATTTTTTATAGCTACCTTTAATATTTTATAGCAAAATAAATATTTATGGTATATACTACCATTGAAGCATGAAATACGCTATTTATATTTTTTCTCTCTCTTAAACAACAGGACATACCTATTTTTAAGGTGATTGTCGTTACTGTATTCATGAATACATGGCGCGAATACATGTGAATACATGCGCATACAGTTATACTGCCCTGATTTTAGGCGCTTTTTACTGTTGTATTCATGAATACATGTGAATACATGCGCGTACAACTGAACTGCCCTGATTTTAGGCGCTTTTTGTTGTTGTATTCATGAATACATGGCGCGAATACATGTAAATACATGCTCGTACAACTGGACTACTCTGATTTTATGCGCTTTTTACTGCTGTATTCATGAATATAACAACGCGAATACATGTGAATACATGCGCGTACAGCTGGACTGGCCTGATTTTAGGCGCTTTTTGCTGCTGTATTCATGAATACATTACGATGATACATGTGAATACATGCGCGTACAACTGGACTACTCTGATTTTTAGGCGTTTTTTGCTGATGTATTCATGAATACAGCAGCGTGAATACAACAAATACACTACCGTAACAACTGAATAGTAGCTATAAGAAGTAATTATGTATATGGTAGCTATAGGAAGTTAATAGTCACTAAACAATAGTGGTTTCTGAAAATTCCTCTACTAAAAATACATTTTCACTTTTACTTGTCCGCTATACTTAATTAAGAGAAAGATAATCTTTTTCCCCCATGTTTTACCCTTATCATTAATTACTCATTCTCCAAATCATTTCCCAAGACTTTTGAAAATACTGTCATTATTATGGATAAAATTGTAAAATACATACTTCATATATGTTTTTGAAGGGACACCAAAATCAAAAGTGAACAACTAAAAATGAACGGAGAGAATATATAGAGAGAGAAAGGATATGGACAAAAACTATATAGGGTTCACGTGAACCCGTAGAATGCCTACTAGATCCGCCCCCTCCTTCACAAAGGAAATCTTTAATTAGTGCCCATGCTAGACCACGAAACTGAATTCAATTCACTCTTTTGATGTACTCTGAAGAATTTACGCTAAGATCTTATAATTCAGCAATCAACACTAGAAGTACAATGATGTATTTTTTACGTCGAGAGAGGCAAATCTTAACATAAAATAGATAAAGAATATTAAATTTTAACGTGAAAATTCCTTCTAAGTCGAAGGTAAAAATTACAGGATCACAAATATCTAAAAATTCCACTATAATAATAAGAGGGTTACAAAAGTTTTACAAATTGGATATACAACGAGTGCCAAACACGAAGCAACAATAGCAAGAACAAAATCAATTGAAAAAAGAGAAGTCACAAAAATGGAGCTGTTGTTCGGGGCTCAAAATCGGATTCTACGAGCCTCCAAATCCGATCTCCACCGTTCAAATCAAAGAGCAAGATTTAGGAACTTTCATTCAAAATTTCAGCTCAATCCAATGGTGAACGAATCCAAAAATGTGATTTGAACTTGGCTGGTCGGAACAAAATCTGTAGCAAAATGAACACTTTTTCTTCTCGCTTCTCTCTTGACGAAAGATCTCTCAAAAACTACTCTTATGTGCTTATACTAATAAGCATATAACAATTCTCAAAGGTTGCACTATTTATAGATAATGAGTGGTGTTTTCTCTTGAAACCAAAATCAAAATAGGAATAAAAATCGAATTCAATTCAGAATAGGAATGGAAACCAAAAGAAAATAGGATTAAGCCATTGAACATTTGGATGGACAACATGGGAATAGGCCCAACAAGCTTCAACTCCAGCCAATGGGCCAAATATGTCTTCAAGTAGAGGAGCCATTGACAGGCTTCATGCTTGCCAATTTTCTGCAAAACTCTTGTTTATCTGCAACCACTACTTTCGTCAGCATACCCGAATAATTGTCATCAATGTGTATCTTCTCAATCTCAAATAATTTCTCTTCCACTGCCATTCTTATCCAATGATACTTTCTATTTATATGTTTCGTCTTATAATGAAAAGTTGAGTGCTTGGTGAGACAGATAACACTCTGATTATCACAAAATAAGATCTAGCTTGGCTGCTCAAATCCAAGATCATTAATAAACTCTTTCATCCATAATAATTCTTTGGCACCTTCGGTGACAATAATATATTCGGCTTCTGTGGTGGATAGGGCTATGCACTTCTGTAGTCTAGATTGCCAAGAAATAACTCTCCCTGCAAAGGTGATCAAATAACCGGAAGTGGATCTTGAATTATCAAGATTGCCTCCAAAATCGGAGTTTGTGAACAAACAAGTTCAAGCTTGCCACTGCCAAAGCACAACTTCAAATCTGTAGTACCTTTCAGATACCTTAATATCTATTTCACTCCATCCTCAATGCTCCTTTTTAGGATTAGAAAGAAATCTACTAACAGTACCAACGGCATGTGCAATATCTGGTTTAATGCAAACGATATCATACATCAAACTACCAACAATAGAAGAGTAAGGAATACGAGATATCTCTTTTTTCTCTTCATCAATATATAGGCTCGGACTAATACTCATTTTAAATTGTTTAACAAGAGGAGTACTAACCACTTTTGCATCTGTCATATTGAATCTCTTGAGTACTTTCTCAATGTACTACTTTTGGGATAAAAATAACTCATTTCTATGTGTCAGTAGATTTGAATGCCCAAGATTTTCTTTGTTGGCCCTAAGTCCTTCATCACAAACGGTTTGCTTAATTGCTTCTTAAGGACTACAATTATGGATTTATTCTTGCCAATAAGCATGTCATCCACATAAAGCAATAAGATAATAAAATCATCATCAAAGAACTTCTGGAAGAATACACAGTGATCTGAAGAAGTTTTATTGTACCCTTATTTTTCTATGACAAATTCAAACTTCAAATACCATTGCCTTGGCGTGTGTTTCAATCCATACATGCTCTTTTTCAATTTGCAGACATAGTTTTCTTTTCCCTTAGTTACAAAAATCTCATGTTGCTCCATATAAATTTTCCCATCTAAATCACCATGAAGAAAAGCAGTCTTTATATCCATCTGCTCAACCTCTAAATCTAGACTCGCGGTTAAGCCTAGAACCACACAAATAGAAGACATCTTCACAACATGGGAGAAAATTTCATCAAAGTCAACTCTCTTCTTCTGGCCAAAACCTTTAAAATTATTAGGTGTTGTCCTGATTTTCTTACTAGATTTGGTTTTCCTATTTCTTAAAGAAAGGGCAACATATTTATCATAATTGATTTTACCTTTTACGAAAAGAAAAATATAATTCTTTTATATTTGGCTAGTCCTTTTTCTTGGAGGAAAAGGTTTTGGACTTCTATAAATTGAGGATCCGTTCTTCTCATTTAGTAGCATCCACAATTTAGCCATCAAGGGTTTGAGATTCTTGTTTAGGGGGAGAATTTCGGGACAAGTGTTAGCCTTTCACTTGTGTTTGCCTCTTAGTAAGATTGTTCTCTCGATATTTTGTACTCTCTTTTCTATAGTGGATTGCTCATCTGCACTTGTGGACATAGGCCAATTGGCCGAACCACGTTAAATATTTATATCTTTTGGCATATTTCTCATTTATTGTATGATTTATCGTCATTGAATGTATGCTTTACCAGCTTTCGCATGACACCTGATGATTTCGATCTAACAAGTGGTATCAGAGAGGGGTTCAAGACAAGTTCATCTTGACGGGTTTAGTTCTTGCCGCAACCTATTTGACGGTAATCATAATTTTCATCTGAGAAAAATGAATGGAGTGCTATTCACGTTGAGACAAACTTTGTGGTGGAGATTTGGAGATACGACTTGTTGAAAGTTATGTGAAGAAGGTGGATCAAGTTTATTTTGTTAGAAAATTCAGGCCAAATAGGAGAATTGTTATGTGTTGTCCTGATTTTCTTTACCATATTTGATTTTTCTATTTCTTGATGGAGGGCAACATATTTACCAAAATTGATTTTATATTTTACGAAAAGAAAAATATAATTCTTCCATGTTTGGCTAGTCATTTTCCTTGGAGGAAAAAGTTTTGGACTTCTATAAATTGAGTATCATTTATTCTCATTTAGTAGCATTCACAATGTAGCTATAAAGAGTTTGAGAGTCTTGTTTAAGGGGAGAATTTCGGGACAAGTGTTAGTGTGTCACTTGTGTTTGTCTCTTTGTGAGGTTGTTCTCTCGATATTTTATACTCTTTTTTTATAGTGGTATAGGAACTATTCCGATTTCAGTGAAGTTACAGATTAGAAGAATTCGAGAAATTTTGATTGAATCATGATACAAATTACAACGAAGAAAAAAGACCGAATAATCATTCTATGATGAAAATAGAATAACTGCCAATATTGTGTACATAACGGGTATACACTATAATACAATCAAATCTAAAATTTATTAGAAGATCGACAACGGAACGAAGAAAGCTATTTTACGACAGCAACACAACAAAGAAGAATCTTATGAGGCTTCCCTGTCGAGAATTAAAAATGTAATATTTTTGGTTGAACTCAAGCCATGGGATCAACGCCATCATTTAAAACCCACAGAGAATAATCGAGAAGGATCTCAACCTCAAAAACAAGACCAAAAGGGACAGAAACAAAGACAAGTGCTCAATCTCTATCATAGTAAAGTTTATTTATATTATTATACCTCGTTGCTAAAAATCACAACACAGTTTGAAGCCGTGATTTTACATTTAAATGGGACAAGAGAATTAAGGAAAGGGGAAGGAAGGGGGTAGAAATAGTGAGCATTGTATTACCTCTATACGAAGAAAGTGCAGCCCCTCACATCAATCAAACAAATGAAGCTCTGCCATCTAGCACATTCCTTTACAGCACCTAACTTAGCTCAACACTGACACTTGCGACAGAATTTTGGTGCACAGCATCTTAGGAAACCAATTCTTTATTTGCACACACATTCCAGCCCAAGTAAATAGTCTGACATCTGCACACTTTTGGTCATTGGCTCCAAATGCAAGCCCTGAAACCAAAGTGTTAAATGATGCAAAGATCAATATCCTTGTATGCCAAATAAAAACCCCAAACATAGACAACAATGAATACTAACAAGTCAATAAAGCACAAGGTGGAGACTCCAGTCAATCAGCCACACCTCATTCTCACACCAATTGGGCATGATACATTAATCGACTATATTACTTCAGCTCTAATCCAGCCCTCTTTTCTTTCATAAAGATTCTTATGGAAAGAAAATTAACGAATCAGTGAATAACATCGGAAAAAGAGGAAAAAACAGAACAAGAAAAACAATGCTAATATACCAACAGTAGCGAAAAACTGGGCAAATTAAAAAAGGGGTGCACAAACCAAAAGAAATATTAACCTAACAGGGTTCTAATTGATTGCACACCTCATTCATGTAGGAAGATAGGAACAGCCAACTATGCAAAAAAGTGTAATAATTGGATTGAGAATCTCAAATCTCAATCTCTCAAGAGGATAACACTCCTCCCGTTTCTCACCAAACACTTTCAATTCTGGAATATCCATTTGGAGTGTCATTTATACAACTAAATCTTTCAAAAAAGGTTGAGAGTTAAAGGTTATTACTTCGATTGAGTTAATGATATTACTTCGTATAATTGATTTGTTCATTAATAAATAGAGCTTAAAGAGTAAAGGCAACAAATCTTAGCTTAGGGAATAAGGTTAAAGGTTCTTAGGACTCCAAGAGTGTGTTTGCACCCTTTTGCATGAGAGAAAATATAGATAAACTGATTAAAGGTGAATTAAAAGTTTATCTGAGAGATCCACCCTGGAAATTGTAGCTGGCCCAGCGGTGGATCGGACCAAAATGGCCTGGTTACATAAATTATATAAACAAAGAAAAAAGGGTCATGTTTTTCTCTTAAGAATCTACTTTACCTCAGAAAATTGGTAAAAAGGCCTAGAGTGGCTGGGGCAAGTTGGCAACCATTCACTGAGTAGGAGTAATTAGGCAACTACTATCAAGCAACTAGTTAATGATGTTTAATTAAGCAATTTCCTTAGGTACGGGATGATTAAAGCCTTGTTGTACATGAACACCATCACAACAACAGATACACAAGGGCAAAGAGCATGCTCTCTCAAAAAATTTACGATTTGTCTCTAACCTCTTCATAAGGCACAGAAAGAATTTAGGATCCTTGCCCCAGGATCTGCACCTCACTGCCAGACGGTTTCGGCCTTTAAAATCCTAGACCTCAAGGTCTTCCACCTCACCAACATTGACTTGTGACTTTTAGCTTATAAGCTACTTTTTAAAAGCCAATCCGAACACCCTCTATATTAGTTCCCACATCAACCTATTAATTCAGCAACATAACTCTCTATTAGCTATACATCAATCAACAATGCTTTAATTCTAAATCATTTGAGGTCGACTATATCCATTCATCCTATATCCATTCTGCTCAATTCAGGGACTTGCCTAGGTGGCTAGGTCCCAACAAATTAAATATTCCGTCGCCCTATTTTACTTTGGCCGTCGACCTACTAAACCTTTATCTATTCGGATTTAAAACCAACTATACTTTGCAAAACTAACATAGGTAGAGTTCATCGCCAACTCCACCAGCAAATGAAATCAAGAAACTGTCCATTAGCAAATAGATTGTCGTAACTTGAGGGTTAGGGAAATTGGCGTCATAAACTATTACCTAAATAACTGTAAGGGGGGGAAGGGGGGGTTAATAATAAAGAACGTCCATGGTCAAAGAGACCCTTCGATTTGGCTAGTGGACTAACTTTTTATGACGGTGGTGCTTGGGCCAGCTTGTGCATACCTCGACTATTCCATCGAGTACCTGCAACCCTCTCACCAACACAGGTGTCAAATAACTCTATCCACCAAGCCTTAGGCAGATGGGAAGAAATCACCTAGTATTTTTTTGCCTCCATTGGGATTTGAACATAGGTTCATATGGTTCTCCGTCCACTTTATGAACACTAGACCACACCCTTGCGTTCTTTGCCTAGTGAACCTATTACAGACATGCACAACAAACGTGCGCTAATAGGTTGCATGTTAGATTAGGTAAACCTAAATTGGGTTCTCTACTTTCCAAATGACCAGAATAAACGTAGAAATTCGATAGCTAGAACTTAGAAGAAAGAATAAGTTTGTTTTGGTTTAGACCAAAACAAATATGGAAAAGACAGCAATGAACATTTTAAATAGCAATATGGTGCAGTTAATGAATTGACAACCTTACTAATGAATAAGTTTATGACAATTAGCAATCATATTTAATACATACAAGTAAAATGTAAGCATACATTTTCAATTTTACGCACCACTATCCATCATTTCATAAATTTAAGGGCTTGTATGAATCAAACACTATGACATTTTGTATAACGTGGTACCCTGCTTTGTTTCAACCACTAAAACAACCACATCTGATCTCCCCCTTCCTTCATTTGGTGCTACATACTGCAGCCCACTTCATGCTCACTAATGTATATACTCCATCTTTTCCCCCTCTACAGTCACCTGATTTTACATATAAATACATAAATTTTCACAACCAAGCACGAATCAACCTCATTCCTCAAGGCATATGTCTATCACAAAAGGTAAAAAGTCTACTCTTCTTTCAATCTGTTCCTTTTTCTCCAGATGAATCTTTTTTCCAATATTTGATACATCTCAGCTCCAATATGACTTCCAAAACAAACTCAACATCCAAAACCTAAAGAATTTAAGATAGTTTGACATATATACAAAATTTCCTAATTACAACCACTAGAGAAAGTTTAAGAAAAGCTTCTTTAGTCATACAACAAGCTGTTTGATTCCAGTTTGAACATTTTGATAGTTTCGAAAGCTATTCATGTAAAGCCATCATGCAAGCAAGCATAACAAACATTAACCGATTTTTATGAAGCCATGATTGTGAGCATATATAAGGAAGCAACAGTCAGGACTTTCCACCCACAACTAAATATTGTCTATATTATCATAAAAAAGAGATAAGAAATTACTTCAAAATATGTATGCAGGTTGTTGTCTAACAGGGCAGTGAATGTAAAACACAGTGCAAGCCATTTGCAGATTATCTCATGAGCAATTAATAGACTGCAAAAGAATTCAAATTTAAAAGCAACGGGAAGGCAACCGAAGTTCAATCACAATGACAGGATTAATGACCACGCACCACTCTAGAATTTAATATAGAAACGACTATTATTACTTCAGGCGGAAAATAGTCAAATACCCAAGATTCCCAATGCCATTTATAGGCTCGAGAAGCTGCAACTGATGTTGCTGTGTCTCCTGTCCTGTCTGAATTTGCTGCAACGGCTGCACATTACCAGCATCAATTGCAGCTGCAGCAGTAGTTGGAGTCCCTTTCCCCTCCACAAACCGCCACATATACCACGCCCCAGCTGACCTATATGGTCTCCATTTCTCGCACAATTGCTCCATCTGCGACGGCCTAGGTAATTCCTCTAATCCGTATAACAACTGCACACCTTTCCTGACCCCCAAATCACTAACAGGCAAAACATCCGGCCAATGCAGTGAAAAGATCATGAACATATGCACTGACCAAGAACCAATACCCTTCACCATCGAAAG